TCACACAAACCTAGGCTTCACACAGCGCGGGTTCAAGTTCAACCGGCGAAAGATTTACACCGCCACTCTCTTGCTTCCATTGGAAAACCATCCACCGGTGAAAGAGCACAAATTTGTCTCAGGTTTTCTGTGGGCTCGACGTGTGACTCAACATGGCTCCAGCTGTTGCAGCTTCCGATCAATTTGAATATGTCCGGTGTGGCTCAAAGTTAAACGAGCGGAGGGGCACACCGCAGGTTTTGGTACCCATGTTTCCACTTACCAGGGCAAGCCATTTTGGAATTCCGGTTTTTTGAGCCATACCCATGTCGGTTCATCAACCAACTCTCTGCCAAGCCATCCCAGCAACTCACGTGGGCAGTCAAAGGTTTCACCAGGCAGCCTCTTCAGCGGCACAACCGCGAGGCCCATGAGAAGGCAAATCAACCCAGCAAACCTGGGCTGGCGACGGCGGCGGGGGGGGGGGGGGGGAGGTTCTAACCACCCCATCAAGGAAAAGGATTCAGCATTGAGCATTGGCACCCAGGGTACCTTGACTTGGTGAGGGCATCGCGTGGCAAATCACCAGAATCCAATTTATCGACTGATCGCGCAGAAGACCTGAAGAAAAGTGCTCCCAAAACTTGCCGCAAAGCAATTTCAGATGGGCGCGGGGAGCCCAAGAAAGTGAATAGCTGCAAGAAACTGAATTGCCCTTTGTGCAAAAAAAACCGGTCCATTTCAAAGCGCTTTCAGAGGGCGCCCCTTCAGCTTGCGGCTGCGCGGCCCCAGCACATAGGCGAAGCCGTCGTGGCGTGTGCCAAAGAGCTCGCTGTGCTCGGTGATCACCAAGCTTTTGAATCCTGCGCCCAAAAAAGTTCCCGCGGCGGATAAACCGATAAACCCTGAAGGTGGACATGTTCATATATAGATGTCCACGAAGCATTGTTGAGTGTCTTCCCCCATGGCCATGTTTTTTATTTAAAAAAGCTGCGGCGGACTCGCAGCAGAACATTCAACACTTGAATGCCCCTGGTCCTCCGGGTATGGTGGCCACGTTGAATCGAGATTGCATCTTGATGGTGTAGGTCTGCGCGGTCGCTTGGCCAAATTACATGCACGCTGGCGGAAAGAAATGAGACCGCAATGCAGTGCTGTTTTTTCCGCATGGAAGCGTGCCTGACCCGCGTACAAGGTTTCCGTGAGGAACCCGACTCTGTTCCAAACCTGAGATTTCCAATCCAAGGTGCCGAGTGGCGGGCTCTTTGCATTTCAAGGTGCCCTGGGGACAGCTGACGGCCGCATCCAGTTCACGAAGTCTTCGTCCTTCACATTGAGCTCTTTGGAGATGCTCTCTGGGAAGACCTGGAAGAGCCAGCGCCCTTTGTCCGGCTGCGGGTAGTCCTGAGCCGCTTCCAGCTGTCTGGGCATTGAGAGCTTCTCAAGAACTCAGGATGCCTGTTGCATGGTTTGACTGCATAATCCGGTGCTGCAAGGGTCAAAAGCGGCCGGGCAAACGGGACAACGATGATGATGCAGGTACATCCGGTTCGATCTTGGGATATCTTCCGCGAAGCCATCAGCAGTGATTTCAACCGGGGAAGAAAATGACTGCAATGGCAAAGCAGGGATGCCAGGACAACCTTGATGACCATAGAAAGCTCAAAGTAAACATGGCAAAACCTGGTTTGTACAATGAGCCACCCCAGCATACGCAAAAGCTTGTCCACATGAGCAGCCCCTCGCCCCCCCGGTCCGATGTGTTGCCATATCGGTCTATATCCTGCTGCCAGGCGATATCGGTGTGATCGATCGTGTGCCCGACCACCTCGAAATGAATCCATCACCATGCTGTGCCGAGCCTTGTCGCTTACCAAGGTTAGATCACGGTCAAGAATTGATGGTTGTTGTTGATGTCCTTCCCCTTCAAAATGCACGTTGGGCATGCAAGACAGGGCTCGCAGCTTGGTTCAAAGAGGAAGCCGGTGCCCAGCCGGAAGGTCAATACGACCGATGAATTTTGGGGACAAGAAATAACATGGATGGAACTCGTTGGAATCTCAAGCACCACGAAGAGGACAACAATGACAAAGGTCTGGGTAAACCATCCACACAAAAAAGAAAGAGCTGCTGACATATTACCTCAGCCGAGGCCTTTGGAAGGCACTTTGCCAAGGCCTTACATCATGAGGCCTAGCCTCTGAGTATTGAGATACATGAAAATCTGCATGCCCCCGACCGAAGATGTGCACAGCCTTCATGCCAGACAAGTCCGCGCATGCCAATTAACCATGTGTATTAATCTCTTTCGCTCGAACACTCTCCGACACTCACTGGGCCCCTGGCTTCAAATGTATCGTTGAAAAGGCTTTGAGCCTGCGAGCGCGAGTCATCTGAGCCACTGGGAGGAGTCTCTGGGAGTGACTGGGAGCGACCGGGAGCCACCGGGAGCCACCAGGAGTCTTGGTGGCGGAAATAGGGTGAGGCGTGTCTTCGTTGGTTGGAACGGTCAAAACTCCTGGCGCTTTGATTGCAGGGTGTCCCGTCAGCGAGTCGGTGACATGGATACGTCTTGCACCCTGAAAAGCAAATCACAGAATCCTTGATGGGATGTCTTCAACCGCCCGGATAGCTGGCGGCTATCACGATGCGCCCGCGCGCCTTCAACCCACAAGGCACCAGCGGGAGGCCGTCCCTCGCTGAGCGTCCAAAGCAAGCCAAATGAAGTGCTCTGATTCATACCCATGTTGCAAGAAAGAGACCCCCTCTCTAGGTGGTGCTTACCATTTGGGGTCTTTTCCCCAGCACAAGTGGATCAAATGGAACCTGGAAAGCATTGTGTCCTGGAATAGGGAGACCTCCTTTTGGTTGGGTGTTTGCAAAAAAAGGCAGTTTTAAAAGGAACCTGACCACGTGTAAAGGTCGCAAAAATTGACACGAATTTTGTCCCCCTGTAGAACTCCCCTCCCACCAGGGATTCGGGTCGCAGGAAATCCCCATAAGCCGAGCAGCCATTCACGCACACGTTCTGGGCACCTCTGCTCTCTCTTCCCGGCCGGCGCCTGCGTGTCACTATCCTCCCTCTCTGTACCCCCAGTGTCCCGCGGGTTTCTGGGTGTGCCACCAAGGCTCTTTCTCAAATTTGTCAATGCGTGATGGATGTCTTCCCGATAACTGACATTTGCACCGGTAACCGTGCCGATTGCAGTCAACCTAGTGAGCGCATTGCACCTACAAATAGGACTGATTACAGTAACATCCCGCTCAGCCTAGAGTCCCGTGTTGCCATGGGTGTGCCATGTCTGTCTCCATGAGCATGTTTCATGCACAGTCTATCAAATCAGTTTTCCCTGCTGTTGAAAAACAGCATGCTGCACTGCTGCACCTCTCAAAACCTTGAAAAGCTTGCTCTCCTTGCAGGTGAAGCAGTGTTGGGATACATCTTTGCATACGACATCAACAGACTTGGCATGAGACTATTCGCTGAAGCAGGCCTTTGCTTCAGGAAACAATGTCCTTCCAGACCAAAAAGTTTGTTTTTCTGGCCGAGCCGCCTCTTGGCCGTAGAGCTCCTGAACCACTTCTGACTTCCTTGGCGTATGGCAGAAAGGAACACCCGCCGTCCATCTGGCCGGCAGCTCAAAGGAAAACCCGCTGGGAAACAGACTCAGGTTCGTCGGTGCTTGCACTGGTGCCGCTGGAAGTCAGCGGGAAAGCTCAACGGCTTCGAACAAATGATGCAATCCAAGGTGCATGTATGCATTATCATTCTGATAAATCGGACCTGCCAAATCTGGATTCGAAAACTCTCAAGTCTGCAAGCCAACAGAAACTCGTTGAGAGCAGCTTGCACAGTGAGAAGCCCGCCTACAGAGTAGAATAGCATCGGATCGGTGATGTCGTGCGGCAACGTCACGGTAAGCCTGGTTGGACCGTCCGTCGCCGTATCCCCGGATAAACATTTGGATTCGCACCAGTACCAGAGCGGACAAATTCTTACTATCAAGGATCTAAACCAGCCCACACCAATGAGCAGCAGGACGAAAGGCTCATTCTCCCTTCAGTCTCTCTACCTGACCGTGTCCTGACTTGCGAAGTGAAGCTTCCAAAGCTAAAAAGCAGCAGTGCTCTGAAACGCAACAAGACCTTGGCACCTTCCTGAATAAACGCGAAGTAACAGAACATGCTAAATTAATCTAGATCAGCGAGCGCAAGGCGTCACGCCCAAACCAACCAAGCAACCAAGCAACCAAGCAATAAAGCAACCAAGCAACAAAGCAACCAACCGAACGAACAAACAAACAAACAAACAAATGAACAAACGAAACAGCACGAAACAAACCAAAGCAACAAAAACAACGCATCCAGCCCCACCACCAGCCCGACCCCCTGCCGGAGCCCCAAATTTGGGGGGATTAAGATTCCCGATTCGGGTTTTCATGAGCCAAGCTACATCAATGCCCCAACCTTCAGCAGCCCTATATTCAAGCCTAAACCTACAAAGAACAAACCCTACAAAGAAAACAAGCAAGCATCAGCGGGCTCAAATGCCTCAGGCCAGACCGCAAGCCTGGATGGGAATCCTATGCAACATGAGCACAGCAAATAAGAAGCAGACCTCTACAGGTGACCCTGAATCAGCCAACTTGTCACTCAGAAACACACTTATCCCACACAAAACAAGCTTGCTTCTTCGTTCCAATCGCCCAGAAAAGAAACCAGGGGCAATTGCCATTGCAGGATTGGTCCAAGTGGCTCGCAGCTCTTCTCATTGGACCCTGGCAGTGGTGTGCAGTGCGCAGAATGCGTCTCATCCTCGGCACAATCAGAGCAAAGAAAAGGCGCGTCTCAGGAACTGAGGGAAGCCCACCACATGCTCGAGCTCTCGAGGGCTTGAGGCGCAATTAAATCGCGTTAACTCGCGTGGCTGCAGGTTTTGTGTTGCTCTTGAATATGTGGGTGTTTCTCAAATTAAATATAGGCCCGTCCAGGTGGTTGGTTCCTTTTGGTCAGTCAGCATTTTGAGACAGACCCATGTGTAGAAATTCCAAGTGGCTAAGTAGGTGGGATAAGTTGGCAGTGCAATTTCAAGTGCATGCCATGCAACTCTGCTAAGTGTATCCACAAAGGCTGCTGTATAGCAGGCAATTGTCCAGAGCTATGTGACGACAAAGGCAGTATCCAAATGTACACCTGCCATGCAGCACTTCACGGCATCGAAGTAGCTGTAAAGCGGCAAGCAATGCAAAAAGAGAGATAAAGGAGGTGTGTGCAGTTCAAGCGGCTTGAAGCCATGCTCGTCAAATCCTCTACATTGAACGTGGAAGCTGTATTGGTCGTGTATGCAATGCAAGCAGTGCAACTGATGAAGGTGGCAACAGTGTGTTGCATAAGCTGGGTACTCGGCCATCCAACACAGGGTTACTTGTTCAGTCTCCAAGGTAGACTATGACCCAAGGATAGCTGATTTCCCCATTTGTGTGATCAACATATGGAACCATGGCCGGGAACATATCAACATGAGCTAAGTTCCAAAACACCCATGTCTGCTATCATAGCCAAGCCTGTTTACGTTGTATCACAGGTTTGAAACGGCCAACAACGTCCCACAGTGGATATGATTCAGGCGACATTTCGTCCACTAGAAACATGGACCTGCGGCTGGTTGGACGAGTGGCCGGCATTGTACCAATTGGATATCGCAGGAAGAGATCCTGCAAGGCCAAGCATCTGATCAAAGCCCATGCTCAGCACCCCGGTCCTCTATAAAAGTAGAGCCGCCTTTGCCTTTGGTGCTATTTTCCTGGGCTGACACATGTTGGAACGCCATACGCGACAAGCCGCAAGCCATAAGAAGCCAATCATAGAATGGCTTCAGGCCGTTTCAGCAGGAGCAAGCCGCTTGCCTCTCGAGCGAACCCAAAGCCTGGTCGAGCGAACATCGTTCAAATCAAAGTCTCGTCATAGACGATACGCAGCTGAGTCTTCTCGGTAGACTGCCCTCAGCTCTCGCAGCTTGGGCAGTGAAGCCGACAGCGGACACACAGCTCTTGTTCAATAGCTGCCGCACGGAATCACGCCTAAGTATCCTCCGGTCCCATTGGATGTCGTGACTGCTGTTTTACGTGCCACTCTTCCGAGCTGCAGTAGCAAACTCCCGCGAAGGCCCACAGGACCAGCCAGCCAGCTAGCGCCACAATGATGACCTGGGCTTCGCAGGTCTAGCCATAGGGCCTTCGCCGTAGATCTCAAGGTGACTTGCTTTAGGGATGCTCGTTTGGCATCCCGAATGACGTCCCAAAAAGGGTCGCCTCCGATATTGGGTCCCAACCTTGTGGGAGGTCTTGTTTTGATGTCGCCCAAGGCTCTCTCACCTTTCTGCCAAGCTTGCAACTGGGCATCGCACCTGTCTATGGTAGGGAATGGAACCTCAGAGCGCCAATTCGAAAGCCTGCGGACCCCGAAGGCCCATCACACCAGATCCATACAACTTCATCCTATGCTTGAAATGGGTTTGGGTCAAAATTAACCCCTTCGGGGGACCGCGGGTTTTGTTCGATATGTCCATTTACCGGGGTTCCATTTTGGGTACCTATTTTTGACCCACGGCCAAATCATCCTGTGCGGGGACAAGTCCACACCTCTGCAACTCTCTCATGGAGCAGGGACCCAAAGCGCTTGGATACCACTTCGCCACTCTGAGCATGATATTGAGGCATACGGGAGCCCGGTCTTATCTGTGAAGCTGTGTATGGAAAACTTGGTATGGAACAAGGCGCAGAACATAGTATTTAAAACAAAGGATTGGAAGTGGAGCTGGCGATAGGATCTGCAACTGCAGTATGAAACAAGTACGCGCCAGGCATCTGTGTGTGTGTGTGTGCTATGCATGATTCCTCTTAAATGGATAGTCTGCAAATAAGCAAACGCCTCGGGCAATGGCCTTCCACATACAGAAATAGGCATCCACACAATCACAAGGCGTTCGCCGAGGGGCAAAAGAGATCGGGGCTCAGATCTGCACTGTTGCAGTCTATCATCAGTGCTTGCATCTCTGCATTGGACCTCGTGGTTTTGCGCCGGTTCTCATGGATGCATCTCATGGTCAAAATGTGCCTTTGGTCGTAAAGGGCATGGGGAAACAATGGGTTTGTCTGTTTTTGGTGAATCTAGTGAAGCGCTCCGGACGCGGAAAAAGTGCTCCATGTGAAAAAGATCAAGCCACTCCCTCGTGAGCATGGAGCCCGAGAAATTTGGAAGGCTGTGAAGGGGCTTCTCTTTGGGCCCGCATGGAACTCCACAAAACCACGACCTTTGTGCGGATAGCATCGGTCGCTTGCCAGGATGCACTTGAGATTCCGCATCCGCATCTGAGCTCTCTAGGCCTTGGATGGCAAAAAGGCATCCCGTCACCTCACCTATTCCTTGGCGCCCACGAATGCACGGCCCGATGGCCCCTGCCCGACTTTCTATCTGAACTACGCATGCTGCTTGTCAGGTCTGGAGGGTCTGTTGCTTCTTTACGGTCCCATTCCTCTTATGTGTGTCATGTGTGGAGGCCTTGCGCGTAGTGCTGAAAGGCCGCAGTCAAAGCCGTCTGAAGATCCTGGGCTGGGGAGAAGCAACCCTCTCTGCTCAAGTGAGCCCCGGCTCCTCAAGCGGGGATGGGGCTAAGGTCCCCAATTCCAGTCATCTGGCCTTCCCGTGAGAGAAAATGGGACTCACGGAGATCAGAAATTATCTGCATCCAAAGTGACTTCCATTTACAATATGGTGGGTTACGATCCCAAAAGTAACTTCTCGAGAACCCCTAAAAATGCTTTCCGAGCTTTCCGGGACCCAGTTCTCCCTCAATTCCTCGAAGCTCTCTCAAAAAGTGGGCGCCAGAGGCTCCCTCGTGCTCCTTTTCCTCGAGCCTTTTCTGCAGAAGGTCCCCGCGGTCGGGGTTGTAGATCCGGTGGTAAAACCAGTGGAAAAACCTCGGCAAGGATAAACCGCATTGTCGAAAGCCCCGTTTTGTGAAGCACGTCGGTGTCTCTTTGTTTAGACCTCAAAAAGTTGTGTTCCTTTTGGTTTCCCGAGAAAAAGCACAGCCAAACCACCAAAAAAAAAGACACGGCCATACGGATTGCAATGTAAGCCTGGCTTGATCTGAAAAAATAGGCTCCAAATCCAGAACAATCCGTTGCCTGTTGTGTCGGTCAACATAGACTGGCCTGAGAGTGAGACCCTTTGTGCAGACAAGGGGAAAGGTTCTTTCGGCAACTTCACCGTGGCACGTCCAACCCATGTTGTACTTCACATCCGACCTCTCTATTTTGTAGCTGTCCTCTGCTTCTTCGTCGGGCAGCATGTCGAAAACGAAGGCAATGAGCCTCAGACAAACCACAAATACAAACAAAACAGGTATCTGAGATTGACGAATGGCGTCCTCATCTCTTCTCAGCTGCTTCCGTCGTTTTCACTCGTGCTATCCTTCCAGTGTTTGTTCATTTTCTCTGAAAGGTGTGGAGGAGCAAACAATCAGGCATTTAGGGTATTTAGGTATCTGGGAACGCCAATGTGGATGCTGACCTGTTCGGATTCTCTGCCAGGCTTCGGCACGGCGAGGACGCAGAAGTAGAAGTACGCGTTCTTGATCATGTGCACGGGTACCGAATACATGTTCGGTGTCAGCTTGTTGCAAACCCAGAGCCACCCCGTGTCAAACATCAGCCACAGCACGTACCTGAGATGGAAATGTCTCAAACAGGTGCAACTTTACCCTGACTTCTCCATCACTTGTCGGCAGGGCTTTCCAAGTATTTGATTGAGATTATGCTAGATGCCCCAGATTGCTGCTCTTTACAATCTGGTCTAAAGTAAGTCTCTCCTGGCTTCTATTCATTTGCTGAAGACTATATTTGCAACTGTTGGCGTCATCTACGCATTTCCCTGTTTGTTTTCTTGAAGGCTGTGCGTGAGAGTCACAGCAACCAGAGTCTTGTTGAACCTAATGTTCTTGGGAACCTGATCATTACCGGCTGTGCAGGAATTCATGGAAACAAACTTGCAACCGTCTCCCTCTAGACTTTTGTCACTTGTGTTTTGAATTGAGCAGCAACCAAAACCCGTTGACCTTATGGCGGCCGAACAGTAACCCCCATGAAACCAGGTAGAACCAAATGGCAAAGTGGCCAAGGGGTTGATTGGGTTCCGATCAATTGATGTTGCGACTCATGGGCAAATGCTGGCTGGGAGAAGCGTGGAACTGCTCGCGGCACTGGTCTCCAATGAAAGCGCAATACAACATAGTAAAGGTATGTGGAATTACAATTGCGTGATGGGCAAACTGGTGTCGATCCTGATTGACAGCAAGCTTGCTCGCAATCATTCCGCGCCTGACACGTCGACACCAATGGCAATTCCGACAATTCCCCCTTTGGGTGACTCTTGGCACTCTTGGCTGATTCTTTTTGCGGACAGGAATGATCACAACTGTCACCAGTTGTAGCTACGTTTGTGGTTGCAGCTTTGGTTGCCTGGTCCGCCGTGCCTTCAACATGCTTGGCGTCCCCTCATTTCTAAGGCGTGCCCCAATTTTGCACATGGCCACTTGTCCACTGCTGCTTGCCGAGGCTCATTCCGAAGGCCAGCAAAGCCACCTGCGCGGTGTATTTCCTGCTCTTCCTGGAGGACCTCGGATTTCCGTCTGCAAGCAGAGGATTCCCCAATCGTCCGATCTTTGAACCCCCGCAAAAGGGACATAGGACTGTAGGCTTGATTTCGCAAAATGTGAGAGGGAGGCTCTTATCTGCCATACTTTGAGGCTGGCCCTTCAAAAGCCAATAGTCGCTCTTGTGTTGCTTCAACCCCCACCCCCCCAAACACCCCTGCAGCACGGGACCTTTTAGACTGACTTGCGCGTGTGCCTGGTCTTTGGTCACAGTCTGCTTGCTGTGGTTGGAGGGCCCGGAGTCATGCCAAGCCACAGGAAGGTTGCACGGTAATTCACATCGATGATCAAGCAGGTATAGCAAATGGTGCCGAAGGTGTAGTAGTCACCTTGTCAACTTCTTGAAACTCGCTAACTTCGCGACGATCAACTTTGGGACCATTTCAGAAGGAGGACCAGCATTTTTCTTGCTGGTGCTCAGGGCATTAAAAGAACCCTAGAAACGAATCCATCCCTTTAGCCATCCCTCTGTTTCCTTCAAAAGTCCCTGGGTTCATACCACATTCAACACTGTGGCTCAAAAAACGGGATTCACCAATGGCTTGCCCTCACAAACGGTTTTTGACTCGGGAAGCTGCGGTTTGCCGCTCGTCCCGGTCCCGCCTGAGCCAGTGGACTCGAGGCCCGGGAAGGCCAGCACCGTGACGATCAGGAGCCTCCGGCGGTGCCCCCGAAATGGCTGGCCTAAACCCTGACAAAATGGGCAAGGCCTCAAAAAACCAAAACCAACCCCAGCTGTGGGCCATTTCAGTTGAAAAAACACAACCATCCCACTGTCAGCGGCTGGTCGGGCAGAAGGTGGAAGGGATTTTCATCTCAGCGGAGGTCTGGCGATGGCTTGGACGTGTGGTGGCTTCTCCTTGAAACAACACTGAAGAGAAAATCAACCACCACCACCCCCACCACCCGACTTAACACATGGCCAAGTTCGGCGGTGCAAGTCAAGCACTCAAAGTCTCATGCTTGCCCATGAAGGGTTTAAAGGAAGCTCGGAGGCAATCCGGGCACCAAACAACCGTCTGATGATGAGCTATAATCATAATGATGCTTAGTTGATGTTGGGTTTGATCCCCAGCAAAAGGAGTTGTTTGCAGGCACAACACGTATATGTACGCTGAGCATATCACAACAAGCGCAGCCATTCCTCGACCGCGCTTAATTTGGGACACAACCTCATTAGATCTGTGTCCTTGCCGTCTGTTACATTACAATACACACATGCACATGAAAGCTAGCTCTCCCCGCAAGCGCGCTGTCTTCATCACTGTCCCAGTCAATCCGTCAAATGTGCCCCAGATTCAATCAGCCCTTTAGCCCAGGCACACAGAGGCATGCAAGAAGGCCACGAGGATAGTCATTCCCTGAGCCGCAGAGCTCACGACTTGCCCAAATGCGATGCCTCTGCCAAGGGAAGCAGGAAAACCGAAAGCAATGTTGCACATTGAGAGTGTAAGCCGGTACTTGTGCACATGCATGACAAGGTGTATTTCATGCTGAGATAACTTGCAATGACCAACACATGCAGCCTGCTTAATGCCCTTTCTCCATGTATGTTCGCAAACTATCAATGCTTTGCTCCATCTCAACTCTTACAATGATTGGCGATCATAACGAAGGCCTAGTATCCCGAAAGCAGATGCATTCATAAGCGTGTTTCTCCCTAAAAAACAGCTTGGCTTCCTTTTGGTGTCTTTCTTGAAATAGTGAAAAGGGGGAGTCCTCTATTTGGAGAACCCCATACACATCAACTAGTGTAAAGCACCGAAGTCACGTTGCTGGTGTGGGGGATCTGCTGTCGGAGGCAACCGGTATGGCCCCTATAGTCACAGGAGCCTCTGATCTGCAAATGGCAATTGGCAACTAGCGGTGAGTATAAAGCACCACTGCTACGGACCTTCAGGTCTGTGACTCTATGACCTCACCATGGCCGCTCTGACCATGAGCGAGTATGTAAGCAGGAATCGTTATGCTGTGACCATGCTTGCCACAGTCAACCTTCTGCAGGGATCAACATGGTTGCCTCAAGATAAAATCCGAAATCGGTGGCCTCAAGGTCAAGGCATAAAAGGGGGGACGTGCCCAACACAAAAAAAACAAAAAACACAGCTCGGTCTGGTTCGCCACTGACCAGGCGCCTCCGCTTCCCTCCACCTCCATCCCTCCGACTTGGACAGCCCAGGCGCCACCTTCCCAACGTTCAGATCCTCCGAGCGCGGGCCCACCTGGTACAGGTCCGGGTGCTTCAGCACCACCTCCTCCTTGAAGTCCTAGAACTTCTTCAAGAAACCCGGGAAACAATGGGTTGGCTAAGGATCTCGTCGAAACCCGGGTAAACGTGTGCCCGGCCATGACATACCCAAAAATGCATGGTCTCTACATGTGCTGGGTGTATTTCCTTAGCTTCCCTTTAACCACCAACAAAAAAGGGGTCCACGATTTCGAGAAACCTTTAGCTGGAGGTGTTGTGAGAGGGTGGCCAGTGATTGGTTGGGGTGGCGGTTGGTTGGTGAGGCGGGCTTGTCAGGGGGCAGAGCTTCACGCAAAGGCCGTTTGGCAAGACTGCCAAGGGAAGGCTGCAGAGAGTCGGCAGTCCCAGCTCTGGGCCTTGAGCAGGCAACCTGGACCCCTGGCTTCGCTTTTGCAAGGTGAAGAACCACCGAACTTTGTGCCGTGTAATTTTCTATTAACTGCACCAAATGTGGCCGCAAGTTTGAGACACTGGCGAAGCAATCACCCTTCCCATTCTACAAACTAGATGAGGAGCTGCTGGAATGGAGAGCAACCCCGCATATTCCGTCCAAGCCCGCTGCGTTTGGGATCCTGCCCTTCTCTTACTTCGAGCCAGGTCATGGGACATGTGTCACTTCCCCCGACTCGACGGAAAACCTGTTGAACCGCACCCTGTACCGAGACAGCTTGAAGCCTGAACTCGGCTAGTACCCCCCCCCCCCCACCAAAATTGAAAACCCAACTTGCCCCAAGCTCCTTCAACAAGGGGAGCAAGCAATCATTTTGAGGCAGGTGCGCGCAAACGCGCCTCGTCCAAACATCCCGGAGGAAGGATGGGCATGGTACACACGCCATTGAAGGTGAGACGAATCCAATCCTGAGGCCAGGCCAAAGTGACGGCAGTCGCCTCTTCAGGCTCCCAAGCCCTTCTGAAACTGGTGCGCACAGCTCAGTAGGTGCGCCTTTTCAGCGAACCAATGCTGTCTGTGAGAGTTACTTGCATTCAAGATCCAACGTTGGCCTTTCGCACACTGAGGAACAAAAGCTGAGCTGAGCCTCGTGAAATCCTCTGATGGCAACTTATATGGCAAGCCCCCCAAACATGCGGAAGCCAGGGTCCCATCTGTTGGGCCAGGAACCACATATGGTCTGGGGGAAGGCCATCTACTGCATCTCATGGCTTGTACAGCGCAGTCTTTAAATGAAACCAATCAACTGCAAGGACTAATCAACAACCATCCTTCTGAACGTGACTTCTGGAATCCTACCTTGCCCGATCCGGATCTTTCTAGAAAACCTCCAGAAACTCAAGACATGCGTCACGGCTTAGGCAAGAGGCCTCCCCCAGTTTTCTCCGAGCAGCTTCGAAAAGACAGGTGCCAGAAAACCCAGAGATGAAGGTGTAACACCTGGGAGCTCCGAGTACGAAAAACCGGCGAGGCTCATCCGTATCTCTGGGGAAAGGTAAGGGTGACGTTCTCAAGAAAAAGATAACCCACCCACCCACCCACCCACTCACCCACCCCCCTCAACAAAATATATTGAGATAATTCACTGATATTTGCTGTGTACCCTGTGCCCTGTAATGCTTCAAAAAGAAATTATCTTCAAAACCCCTTCAGGTTTGACCTTGAGAGACCGCAAAGATCGGGCAACTGCGGTCGGCTCAGTCAGGACCACGCACATCAACATACCTTCAGAAACTGAGAACACAAGCCAGTGTAGAAATGTTCTGCTGCAGGATACAAGAGATCGTCGCACTGGCAAAAGAGATCCGAGGCCGTCATGAAGCATCTTACTTGGGTCATTAGAGGTCTTTGTGACCGTTCCAGCGGACGGGCCGGGCTCAAATGAACCTCGACCAACCGAGCAGGCAACATGTTTTTGTTCAGCCAGGATTCGCTATCATCAGCACCTGTACCATGTTTCGCCAGAACCTGGGCGATTTTGTGCGGCTAAGGCATTCCGCACTGAACCGCTTGTCAAAGCACGCTTCACACATGCTCAATGCCAGATTGCAGTCACTGCGCTTTGCCTTTCAGCGCAAGTCTTTGCCAAGTGGCGTGAACAAGGTGAACATGCAGGCGCGTCGGTAGTTCCAACGCCCATGCAACAAGAGCAGCCGCTCCAGGTATCTGAACCTCGCTAGGTGCAACTGGTTGACCACTTGGACAGTTGCAGGCACCTTGTGTAAGCCCATTTTCGCGGTGTGCCTGTTCCATCGAGGGCACAACCACCACACTTCCATGCTGTCTGCGTCGGAACGAATCCCAAGGTCTCTTCTCTGTCCTGGGCCCCAGGCTGGGCAATGGCAAAGTCCGAGTTGTTCACAGCCTGTCGGCCTCGCGAACGGATCCAGAGACACCGAAACTCTTAATGAATTTGCCTGACCTGAACCGGAGCAAGAGAACGTAAGAGAACCGTAGTCTCAGTGCGACCAGCCCACGCAAAGCGCGCCTTCCTTCCCGGCAATGCCAACTCCAACTTGGGCAGTTTGAATCATTGGCACCTCAGTGCTGTAAAGCCATCCGTCCAATTCCAAAATCGCAAATGGCCCAAAAGCCAAATACCTTCCTTTCATCCCTGAGCCGTCCCGAATCGCCATCCCCGAAGCAGTGCCACACGTCTCTCAAACACAGGTCCCATGAGTTTACAATCGTCAAAGTCGCCCCATAAGTGGGAAAGGAAACAACCCCAGTTTCTGACTTTGATAAACACCTGAAACAGAGGGCGGGTTGAAACGTCGTAACTCACATACCATCTTGATTTGGGGGGGGGGGGGTCTCAGAAGTGTACAATTGTCAAAGTCAACTCCCTTAAGTGGCAAAAGCGCGATAGCCAACCAGTTTTGCTTCAACCCCCAGACGTTCAAAGGGAGCTTTGAGCGTTGTCACGTATCTTCCTGTCATTTTAGCCTGGTTTTATGTCGCGATTGCATGTCAAAGTAACAACCAGTCTTTTGCCTTCAAATTCCAGGAAATTTGTTTGAAAACTGATTAGTCCATTCGCCGAGCCCAAGTCACATCGTTGGCGCCATCTCCCACAGCCAGCGTCACGGGCTGCGGCTGGACCCTGTCGCGGATGAACTGCACCAGCTCAGCCTACGCCACGGCCAAGAAGCAACCAATGGCGCACCGCTTCAAGAGAGATAGCAAGCTAACTTGACCTATCACCGTCCAAGACCAAACTGGCACTTTGAAAAGGCGTGCATCACCACTGCACTTGTTTGTTTGGCCATCGGGCTGGAAGTGTGAAACACCGCCGGCTTCTGCCAAGCCGACGCGATCCCCAGGCGAGCCTTCTGCAAGGGACTGACCCGGCAGGCGATCAACACCCCGCAACCTGGGGCACGACAAATGCGTGTGTCATCTTCTTGAGGGCAATTACCATCCTGGGGATGTTTGGATGAAAACCAAAAGGACATATGCGAAAGACGTGGTGCTCATCGCAATCAGGTCTCTGGTGCTTAACCTCTGGAACTTCTCCATCAGGTCGTCACCTTGGGAGGCCGGCATGACCATGCTAGTCTTGTTCGTCAAGGGGTCCAAGCACGCATCCGGCTTATGGCAAGACAAGATCGGCTGCAACACAACATTAGGCAGCTCTGGCAGGTAATGCGATGGTAAAGCCGACAGGCCACGAAGGCCAAAGGCCAAATGAAGCCGCAAGAGTCAGCTGAGATGTCAAACAGGTAAACTATACTTTTGCACGAGCCATGTTGAAGGCATGCGGGGTGTGCCTGTGGCCAAAATGGGCACCTTCAAAAGAATAGGGTTGCTGGAAGGGCACCCAGCAAACATGTTGCAGATTCACTGCCAATCCAAGGAAACCACCTCGAGTCCTGGAGACCTCTGAGCTTCAAAGGTCTTGATTTTACTTGTAACACAAACCAACTGACACAAAAATACCGGCATCTAAATACCGGTATTAAGGAATATAATATAACACAGGTATTCAGAGATCAAAATACCGGCATTAAGAAATCAGGGGGGGCATTCATGGATCCAACATTTCCCTCAAAAGTCCCTCAGCAATCTTGGATCTTGGATCCAGAATCTAAATGCTGGCAATAAATCTTAATACCGACATTAAGAAAAAATACGGTATCAAGAAGTCCGGGGGAAATTCATGGATCTAGAATTCAAGTATTTAGAACTATGGTACATCCCCTTCCTTGGTGTTCATTCTTTAGTGGCACCAGGGCGGGCGTACCATGTATATACACATGTACAGACACACAAATCAGCATGCTCAAAGACCCCTAAGAATGAATTACGGTGGCTTTATTTGAAAAGAAGCTGGCAATTTCGCCAAAGATTAGAATAAACAGGCCCTTAGGGGCGGGGTTTGCAATCGCCCAAGTTTGAAGGGCAGGGTTGGGTCAAAAAATAGGGTTGGAGATGGGGTAAGAACTATTTAGTGGAAACAGACCCTTGGCTGATTTGAAAATTCCCTGCTGGCGGGGTTGCTTAGTTTTTTCATGGCCTGCTTGAACTGCAACATAACCACTGTGTTTTGGGTTCCAGAATGGTACTTGGGCATTTAAGCAGGCGGTCAATCGGCATGCGCCTTGACCGGAGCCCATCTGGGCTGAGACCCCAAAGCTTTCGGATGTTGGGGAAAAATAACATAGGCTCCCAAAAATGACGCTAAATCAAGCCGATGGTCTGGGTAAATAAATCCAATGGTCTGGGTCGCTTCTGGAAATAGATGCAAATGCGAAAGCAAAAAATATAAGAGCCTTTTGTGCGGTCATACTGCCAAGCTTTCTTGAAGCCTGAACTGCCTGAACCCAGCACATGAACAATTCGCACATAGCATTGGCCCTTCTCAAGTAGCATTGCCCCAAAAAACACATCTGGGTCGTGTCCTGGAAACAGATACTGCTACAAAAGCGCTTCAAAAATACTACTGCCAAACTTCCAGGAGTTTGACCGCAATACCAAACGCATTCAAGAATAGTATTGCCAGACTCCCTGGAACCTGACCGTCGTCGTACAAAAACAACTGAACAGTAGTATTGCGACACATCGCCATAGTGAATTAGCAAGCCAGAATCACAAGCCCCGCGCAGCACCCACCACGATATTCCTTCGCGTGCCTAAAACAAACGTGTGAGTGTGCGCGCGTGCGTTGTACAAGCGCCTTCCAAACTAACCCGACCCAACATCCAGGTGGTTTAACATGGCTCGCGAAAAAAAGCGTTAGGCAAACAAGGAAAGAACTCCAAAACACAGCTGTAGGAATCGTCCATCCAATTGAATGAGTACGTGAGACTATCAGACGCAAGCGTTCATGTGATAGCAATGAAGCTGCTTCTATGCACGTTGGATGCCTCTGGCAAGAGCGTGTTGGCAACGGCCAACACAAGCATCTTGCGCCCACAATCTTGGTGTCGACCCCCGAACCGCCCCCTGCTTTTTCGCAGTCTTTGCAGGACATAGGAGGCGCTTATCGCGCGGATGTGCTTCTCAGGCGCAGTCGAGCGGATGCGCGCGCGCAGCAGCGCGCACGCGCTGGTCATGCGCGTAACACTACAGTGAAGCGGATGCGCTTGACGAAAAGCAATGCTGCGCGCACGCAGTCGGGCGGATGTGCTTACCACGGTCGTGACGAAAAGCATGCCTGCGCGCACGCAGTGGAGCGGATGTGCTTGCCAGCATCGGCGAGAAGCGCGTGGCATTGTGAGGGGTTGGCGTCTGTTGACCAGACAAAAATCTATAAAAACACGGGGGGCGGCTCAGGCGCAGGCATCACGAACTTGCAGCGCTTGCTTTGACATAGACGCCACGATTGTCCGGCCACACAGTCTCATTTTGCCAAGTCAATGAGGAGGAGGCGATGACGTTTACGGAGCCTCTTGCGAAGCTGGGAGGGATGGCGCCTTAGGCAGTGGCTCTGCGCTTCCCACCAGCGTAGCAGCTTTCGCTCGCTCGCTCGCTCGCTCGCTCGCTCGCTCGCTCGCTCACTCACTCACTGAGCACTCGCTCATGCGATTGTACTTGGGGATTGGTAAAGCTTAAGGTTCCCAACGTTAGTGGAACTGAGAAATGAAAGTTATGATCCAGCGAGCACCTGGCCTGCTTGTTGACAGGGCTCCCTATACTTCTCCTTGAAACATCACCGACTCTCACCTTTCATGGGCCAAACAAATGATGGTTAAAGCCACCAAGTTTTGACGCAGAACCATTTGATCCCTACGCCGCAGTTTGCACACAGGCTCCACTCCAACCGCTGAGGACCCGGCTCTCCCAAATCTTGGTGAGCTCCTTACCCGTCACCAGCAGCCCGTGGGCCAGCGATTCCCCATCCTGAAGCCATCGCAACGGGGCTGGCAAGAAAGCCAACGGCTTTCTAAAAAAGGGGCACTGACCAAAGGCCACTGTCAAGAAGGGCAGGGGCTTCATTCTGTTGGAGATCTCAGGGCCAAAGGAGGCAAGCAACTTGCAAATGCCGGCACACCGCTGCCAACTCACGTTGCACGATGCTGACCACGGATTGCCCCATGCCTTCCTGACTGACTCAATGGACCGATTGGTTGCAATCGTTGATCCTTGTTTGCGAGCATCAGATCAAATGCTGCCTCACGCCCTCAAAAAAACCCTCTCCTCGTCGGAGCTGCTGTCCATGGACACATCCTGGGAAAGAGGCCCCATCCGTTTACACGTGTCGCATTCTAAAGGCACAAAGGCTAAGGCGACACGGGAAAAGTGTATCCTGACTTCTGGCCTCGTGTGGTCCTTGTGGCAACTCGTTTGGGACTAGGGGCCAATAATACATCCCAAGGAGGTGGTCTAAAAAGGACGCTGTGCCCTTCAGCGCTTGCGACTCCAGCCTTCCCTCCTGCCAAACCCTCCAAAAAAAGAGCTGGCAAGGCTGGCAAGGATTTGAAGGGCGAAAGCGGCAGGAGCACAAGTCCACTCCCATGTCATTTTGCCACCAAGGCTCCCAAGATCTCAGAATCATGTCCTCGAATGGCCGGGGGGGGGGGGGGAAAGGGGGGGCGATCGGACGCAAAGGCATGTCTGACACGCAAGGCTTGTTGCCCGTCCATTTCATTTTTTCTAAATCGGTACAATGCAGCCCCTGTCAGGTTGAAGCACGCCTAAAGTGAATTCTTGGAAGCAACGTTAGAAAAACCCCGGCAAATCGCCCAACCTCTAGAAAAAGATGCCGCTAAACCCGAAAACTCCGTGCTGAGATTCCAGGTCTTGACCCATCTCAGCGTCCAGGATCCTGATGTCCATCTGCGTGGTGAGCACCTTTGTGCTGTAGCCTCGCACAAAAAAAGACCCCTTGCGAAGGGCTTCGGGGACCTGAGCGGTTGGAGTTCCCCCAGCAGGCCGAGTGTAAGATTGTCCTTTTTTGGGGGAACCCCTTTTGGTAAAGGGAGACCAAAAGGAAAAACACCACATTTGTGGGTTCCCTACAAAAAGACACACCCAAATGGAGAATCCCCTTGCCTATGTTTCTGGCGGTCTCCAGCTTGTCTCCAGTGAGCACCCACAGCTTGATGCCGGCGTTCCTGATCCGCTCAATGGTCTCCGGCACGCCGTCCTTCCGGCAGAGCTGGATCTGGCGCTTTGACAGGCACTCGCCAAACAAAGAAAGCTCTGGCTGTGTGGCAAGTTGCGACATGGGCTCTGGGAAGCAAGTAGAACTTCAAGACTGTATCCAAGGGCGCGGGGAGAGTGCGGGTACCAAGGCTCCTGAAGCTTGTCTTCAATGGCTGTAGCACCCACGATATCCAGGGAGTGTTCGATCTCCTCTGCCACTTGCCTTGTCGGCAAAAGCGCGGGGCCCAGAAAACAAACGCCTGTCCGAAAAACACACATGTTTCATGGCACAAACCAAGGGAGGGAAACCATGTGCCCATCTCCTGCACCTGGACATCCATCGTTCGGAGAGGTCTAGAACCGTGCATCCCACTAAACTTCTAGCCGCCCCAGCGTGAAGTCGTTGCATGTCGGAGTCAAAAATGGGGGAAGCTATGGGAAACTTCCCTTTCAAGCTACCCCACCCCACGATTCAGGAATGCTTTTGTCGGGCGAGCTAAGCATCCACTCCGGTTTTGCCCCCCCAACTCCAGGATGGGACTCTTGTACAAAAAGGGGTTGCAACCCCATCTTTTCAGGTCCCTTCTTGAAGTGTCGTTCAGTGGGTCTAAATACAGAATCCCATCCTGCCCCGCTTCAATCAAGTTTAGTCTGGCCACAACATGGCTGGCTTCCGCTAAAAATTGTGGTTTTCCTTTTCCAACCCCCAAGGGCGGTCCATTTTAAACAACACAAAAAGGCGGGACATCGATTCCGGCAAGCCCAGACTTTTCTCCGAGCGGAGGCGCTCCAGCTTGGCGTCCCGGTCGGTGGTGGACCTGTGCGCCTCCTGGAACTTTCCCAGCCACGCCTGGGCCTCGTGCGAACTCAGCGACCGCCGCCCGATCACCAGCGTCCGCAAGCCTCGCGAAGGGCGACTTGGCTTCTCGTCTCTCGAGTCAAGAAGCCGTGTGCTCACAGTACATGTGTCGTTTGTGTGTCACTGTCGTTGGTGTGTCAGTGTTGTTTGTGTGTGTCGTTTGTGTGTGTCAGTGTTGTTTGTGTGTGTCGTTTGTGTGTCAGTGTTGTTTGTGTGTGTCGTTGGTGTGTCAGTGTTGTTTGTGTGTGTGTCGTTTGTGTGTCAGTGTTGTTTGTGTGTGTCGTTTGTGTGTGTCAGTGTCGTTTGTGTGTCTTCCTTGTTTGTGTGTGTGTCGTTTGTGTGTGTGTGTGTCAGTGTCGTTTGTGTGTCTTCCTTGTTTGTGTGTGTGTCGTTTGTGTGTCAGTGTTGTTTGTGTGTGTCGTTTGTGTGTCAGTGTCGTTTGTGTGTCTTCCTTGTTTGTGTGTGTGTCGTTTGTGTGTCAGTGTTGTTTGTGTGTGTCGTTTGTGTGTCAGTGTCGTTTGTGTGTCTTCCTTGTTTGTGTGTGTGTCGTTTGTGTGTCAGTGTTGTTTGTGTGTGTCGTTTGTGTGTCAGTGTCGTTTGTGTGTCTTCCTTGTTTGTGTGTGTGTCGTTTGTGTGTCAGTGTTGTTTGTGTGTGTGTGTCGTTTGTGTGTCAGTGTTGCTTGTGTGTGTGTGCCGTTTGTGTGTCAGTGTTGTTTGTGTGTGTCGTGTGAGTGTCAGTGTTCTTTTTGCCTTTGTGCGTCGTTTGTGTGTCAGTGTCGTTTGTGTGTCTTCCTTGTTTGTGTGTGTGTCGTTTGTGTGTCAGTGTTGTTTGTGTGTGTGTGTGTCGTTTGTGTGTCAGTGTTGTTTGTGTGTGTCGTTGGTGTGTCAGTGCTGTTTGTGTGTGTCGTGTGAGTGTCAGTGTTCTTTTTGCCTTTGTGTGTCGTTTGTGTGTCAGTGTCGTTTGTATGTCTTCCTTGTTTGTGTGTGTGTCGTTTGCGTGTCAGTGTTGTTTGTGTGTGTGTCGTTTGTGTGTCAGTGTTGTTTGCGTGTGTCGTTGGTGTGTCAGTGTTGTTTGTTTGTGTCGTGTGAGTGTCAGTGTTCTTTTTGCCTTTGTGTGTTGTTTGTGTGTCAGTGTTGTTTGTGTGTGTGTGTCGTTTGAATGTCAGTGTAGTTTGTGTGAGTGTCGTTTGTGTGTCAGTGCCGTTTGTGTGTCAGTGTCGTTTGTGTGTGTGTCGTTTGTGTGTCAGTGTTGTTTGTGTGTGTCGTTTGTGTGTCAGTGTTGTTTGTGTGTGTGTCGTTTGTGTGTCAGTGTCGTTTGTGTGTCTTCCTTGTTTGTGTGTGTCGTTTGTGTGTCAGTGTTGTTTGTGTGTGCGTCGTTTGTGTGTCAGTGTTGTTTGTGTGTGTGTGTCGTTTGTGTGTCAGTGTTGCTTGTGTGTGTGTCGTTTGTGTGTCAGTGTTGTTTGTGTGTGTGCGTGTGTCGTTTGTGTGTCAGTGTTGTTTGTGTGCGTGTTGTGTGAGTGTCAGTGCTGTTTGTGCCTTTGTGTGTTGTTTGTGTGTCAGTGTCGTTTGTGTCTCAGTGTCGTTTGTGTGCCAGTGTCGTTTGTGTGTCAGTGTCGTTTGTGTGCCAGTGTTGTTTGTGTGTGTGTGTCGTTTGTGTGTCAGTGTTGTTTGTGTGTGTGTGTCGTTTGTGTGTGTCAGTGTTGTTTGTGTGTGTGCGTCGTTTGTGTGTCAGAGTCGTTTGTGTGTCAGTGTTGTTTGTGTGTGTGTGTCGTTTGTGTGTCATTGTTGTTTGTGTGTGAGTGTTGTTTGTGTGTGTCGTTTGTGTGTCAGTGTTGTTTGTGTGTGTGTGTCGTTTGTGTGTCAGTGTTGTTTGTGTGTGTCGTTTGTGTGTCAGTGTTGTTTGTGTGTGTCGTGTGAGTGTCAGTGTTCTTTTTGCCTTTGTGTGTTGTTTGTGTGTCAGTGTTGTTTCTGTGTGTGTCGTTTGCGCGTCAGTGTAGTTTGTGTGAGTGTCGTTTGTGCGTCAGTGCCGTTTGTGTGTCAGTGTTGTTTGTGTGTGTCGTTTGTGTGTCAGTTTTGTTTGTGTGTGTCGCTTGTGTGTCAGTGTCGTTTTGTGTCAGTGTCGTTTGTGTGTGCGTCGTTTGTGTGTCAGTGTTGTTTGTGTGTGTGCGTCGTTTGTGTGTCAGTGTTGCTTGTGTGTGTGTCGTTTGTGTGTCAGTGTTGTTTGTGTGTGTCGTGTGAGTGTCAGTGTTGTTTGTGTGTGTCGTGTGAGTGTAGGTGTTGTGCCTTTGTGTGTTGTTTGTGTGTCAGTGTTGTTTGTGTGTGTCGTTTGTGTGTCAGTGTAGTTTGTGTGAGTGTCGTTTGTGTGTCAGTGTCGTTTGTGTGTCAGAGTTGTTTGTGTGTCAGTGTTGTTTGTGTGTGTCGTGTGAGTGTCAGTGTTGTTTGTGCCTTTGTGTGTTGTTTGTGTGTCAGTGTTGTTTGTGTGTGTGTCGTTTGTGTGTCAGTGTTGTTTGTGTGAGTGTCGTTTGTGTGTCAGTGTTGTTTGTGTGTCAGTGTTGTTTGTGTGTCAGTGTTGTTTATGAGTGTCAGTGTTGTTTGTGCCTTTGTGTGTTGTTTGTGAGTGTCAGCGTTGTTTGTGCCTTTGTGTGTTGTTTGTGTGTCAGTGTTGTTTGTGTGTGTGTCGTTTGTGTGTCATTGTTGTTTGTCTGTGTGTCGTTTGTGTGTCAGTGTTGTTTGTGTGTGTGTCGTTTGTGTGTGTTGTTTGTGTGTCAGTGTTGTTTGTGTGTCAGTGTTGTTTGTGCGTGCCGTGTGAGTGTCAGTGCTGTTTGTGCCATTGTGTGTTGTTTGTGTGTCAGTGTTGTTTGTGCGTGTGTGTGGTTTGTGTGTCAGTGTTGTTTGTGTGTGTCGTTTGTGTGTCAGTGTTGTTTGTGTGTGTCGTTTGTGTGTCAGTGTTGTTTGTGTGTGTCGTTTGTGTGTCAGTGTTGTTTGTGTGTGTGTGTCGTTTGTGTGTCAGTGTCGTTTGTGTGTCTTCCTTGTTTGTGTGTGTGTCGTTTGTGTGTCAGTGTTGTTTGTGTGTCAGTGTCGTTTGTGCGTCAGTGTTGTTTGTGTGTGTCGTTTGTGTGTCAGTGTTGTTTGTGTGTGTCGTTTGTGTGTCAGTTTTGTTGTGTGTGTGTGTCGTTTGTGTGTGTGTGTTGTTTGCGTGTCAGTGTTGTTTGTGTGTGTGTCGTTTGTGTGTCAGTGTTGTTTGTGTGTGTCGTTTGTGTGTCAGTGTTGTTTGTGTGTGTCGCTTGTGTGTCAGTGTTGTTTGTGTTGTTTTTGTGTGTCAGTGTTGCTTGTGTGAGTGTCGTTTGTGCGTCAGTGTCGATTGTGTGTAAGTGTTGTTTGTGTGTCAGTGTTGTTTGTGTGTGTCGTGTGAGTGTCAGTGTTGTTTGTGCCTTTCTGTGTTGTTTGTGTGTCAGTGTTGTTTGTGTGTCAGCGTCGTTTGTGTGAGTGTCGCTTGTGTGTCAGTGTCGTTTTGTGTGTCAGCGTTGTTTGTGTGTCAGTGTTGTTTGTGTGTGTCGTGTGAGTGTCAGTGTTGTTTGCGCCTTTGTGTGCCGTTTGTGTGTCAGTGTTGTTTGTGTGTGTCGCTTGCGTGTCAGTGTCGTTTGTGCGAGTGTCGTTGGTGTGTCAGTGTCGTTTGTGTCTCCGTGTTGTTTGTGCGTCAGTGTTGTTTGTGTGTGTCGTGTGAGTGTCAGTGTTGTTTGTGCCTTTGTGTGTTGTTTGTGTTTTGTGTTGCTTGTGTGTGTGTTGTTTGTGTGTCAGTGTTGTTTGTGTGTGTCGTTTGTGTGTCAGTGTTGTTTGTGTGTGTCGTTTGTGTGTCAGTTTTGTTTGTGTGTGTGTTGTTCGTGTGTCAGTGTTGTTTGTGTGTGTGTCGTTTGTGCGTCAGTGTCGTTTGTGTGTGTCGCTTGTGTGTCAGTGTCGTTTTGTGTGTCAGCGTTGTTTGTGTGTCAGTGTTGTTTGTGTGTGTCGTGTGAGTGCCAGTGTTGTTTGTGCCTTTGTGTGTCGTTTGTGTGTCAGTGTTGTTGGTGTGTGTCGCTTGTGTGTCAGTGTCGTTTGTGCGAGTGTCGCTTGTGTGTCAATGATGTTTGTGTGTCAGTGTTGTTTGTGTGTCAGTGTTGTTTGTGTGTGTCGTGTGAGTGTCAGTGTTGTTTGTGCCTTTGTGTGTTGTTTGTGTGCGTGTCGTTTGTGTGTCGGTGTTGTTTGTGCGTGTGTTGTTTGTGTGTCAGTGTTGTTTGTGTGTCGTGTGAGTGTCAGTGTTGTTTGTGCCTTTCTGTGTTGTTTGTGTGTCAGTGTTGTTTGTGTGTGTCGTTTGTGTGTCAGTGTAGTTTGTGTGAGTGTCGTTTGTGTGTCAGTGTCGTTTGTGTGTGTCAGTGTTGTTTGTGCGTGTGTCGTTCGTGTGTCAGTGTTGTTTATGTCTGTGCGTCGTTTGTGTGTCAATGTTGTTTGTGTGTTTGTGTGTGTCAGTGTTGTTTGTCTGTGTGTGTCGTTTCTGTGTCAGTGTTGTTTGTGTGTGTGTGTCAGTGTCGTTTGTGTGACAGTGTTGTTTGTGTGTGTGTCGTTTGCGTGTCATTGTTGTTTGTGCTTGTGTTTTTGTGTGTTGTTGTGTTTTGTGTTGTTTGTGTGTGTGTGTCGTTTGTGTGTCAGTGTGTTTTGGGCTTTGTGTGTTGCTTGTGTGTGTGTGTGTCGCGTGTGTTTGTGTGTGAGTCAGTGTTCTTTGTGTGTGTGTGTTGTTTGTGTGTCAGTGTTGTTTGTGTGTGTGTCGTTTGTGCGTCAGTGTCGTTTGTGTGTGTGTTTGTCTCGTTTGTGTGTCATTGTTGTTTGTGTTTGTGTGTTTGTGTGTTGTTGTGTGTTTGTTGTTTGTGTGTGTCGTTTGTGTGTCAGTGTTGTTTGTGTGTGTCGTTTGTGTGTCAGGGTTGTTTGTGTGTGTGTGTCAGTGTTGTTTCTGTGTGTGTCGTCTGTGTGTCAGTGTTGTTTGTGCCTGTGTGTGTTGTTTGTGTTTGTGTGTGTCGTTTGTGTGTCAGTGTTGTTTGTGTGTGTGTCGTTCGTGTGTCAGTGTTGTTTGTGTCTGTGTGTCGTTTGTGTGTCAAGCTTGTTTGTGTGTCAGTGTTGTTTGTGTGTGTTTCGTTTGTGTGTCAGTGTTGTTTGTGTGTGTCGTTTGTGTGTCAGTGTTGTTTGTGTGTCTGTGTCAGTGTTGTTTGTGTGTGCGTCGTTTGTGTGTCAGTGTTGTTTGTGTGTCATTGTTGTGTGTGTGTTTGTGTGTTGTTCGTGTGTTTGTGTGTTGTTTCTGTGTCAGTGTTGTTTGTGTGCTTGTTTGCTTGCTTGCTTGTTTGATTGATTGAATGTTTGTTTGTTTGATTGAAAGTTTGTTTGTTTGTTTGTTTGTTTGTTTTTGTTTGTTTGTTTGCTTGCTTGCTTGCTTGCTTGCTTGTTTGCTTGTTTGTTTGTTTGTTTGTTTGTTTTTGTCTGTTTTCTTGTTTGTTTGTTTGTTTGCTTGCTTGCCTGCTGGTCGGCCGGCTGGCTGGCTGGCTGGCTGGCTGGCTGGCTGGCTGGCTGGCTGGCTGGCTGGCTGGCTGGCTGGCTGGTTTGTGTGTGTTTGCATGTTTGCGTGGTTGTTTGTTTGTTTCTTGTGTTTGTGTTTGTGTTTGTGTTTGTGCTTGTGCGCTTGTGTGCTTGTGTGCTTGTGTTTGTGTTTGTGTTTGTGTTTGCGTTTGTGTTTGTAATTGTGTTTGTGCTTGCGCTTGTGCTTGTGTTTGTGTTTGTGTTTGTGCTTGTGTTTTTGCGTGCTTGTGCGCTTGTGTGCTTGTGTGCTTGTGCGCTTGTGCGGTTGTGCGCTTGTGCGCTTGTGTGCTTGTGCGCTGGTGCGCTGGTGTGCTGGTGCGCTTGTGCGCTTGTGAGCTTGTGTGCTTGTGTGCTTGTGTGCTTGTGCGCTTGTGTGCTTGTGTGCTGGTGTGCTGGTGCGCTTGTGCTTGTGAGCTTGTGTGCTTGTGTGCTTGTGTGCTTGTGTGCTTGTGCGCTTGTGTGCTTGTGCGCTTGTGTGCTTGTGCGCTTGTGTGCTTGTGCGCTTGTGCGCTTGTGCGCTTGTGTGCTTGTGTGCTTGTGCGCTTGTGTGCTTGTGTGCTTGTGCGCTTGTGTGCTTGTGCGCTTGTGCGCTTGTGCGCTTGTGCGCTTGTGCGCTTGTGTGCTCGTGTGCTCGTGCGCTCGTGCGCTCGTGTGCTCATGCGCTTGTGTGCTTGTGTGTTTGTGTGGTTGTGTGATTGTGTCTTTGTGTGTTTGTGTGGTTGTGTGGTTGTGTGTTTGTGTGGTTGTGTGGTTGTGTGGTTGTGTGGTTGCGTGCTTGTGTGCTTGTGTGCTTGTGCGCTTGTGTGCTTGTGTGCTTGTGTGCTTGTGCGCTTGTGCACTTGTGCGCTTGTGTGCTTGTGCGCTTGTGTGCTTGCGTGCTCGTGTGCTTGTGTGCTTGTTTGCTCGTGTGCTCGTGCGCTCGTGCGCTTGTGCGCTTGTGTGCTTGTGTGCTTGTGTGCTTGTGCGCTTGTGTGATTGTTTGCTTGTGTGCTTGTGTGCTTGTGTGCTTGTGCGCTTGTGCGCTTGTGCGCTTGTGTGCTTGTGCGCTGGTGTGCTTGTGTGCTTGTGTGCTTGTGTGCTCGTGCGCTTGTGTGCTTGTGCGCTTGTGTGCTTGTGCGCTTGTGTGCTTGTGCGCTTGTGTGCTTGTGTGCTTGTGTGCTTGTGTGCTTGTGTGCTTGTGTGCTTGTGTGCTTGTGTGCTTGTGCACTTGTGCGCTTGTGCGCTTGTGTGCTTGTGTGCTGGTGTGCTCGTGTGCTCGTGCGCTCGTGCGCTCGTGCGCTTGTGTGCTTGTGGTGCTTGTGTGCTTGTGTGCTTGTGTGCTTGTGTGCTTGTGTGTTTGTGTGTTTGTGTGTTTGTGTGTTTTGTGTTTGTGTGTTTGTGTGTTTGTGTGTTTGTGCGGTTGTGTGGTTGTGTGGTTGTGTGGCTTGTGTGTTTGTGTGTTTGTGTGTTTGTGTGTTTGAGGTGCTTGAGGTGGTTGAGGTGTTTGAGGTGTTTGAGGTGTTTGGGGTGTTTGGGGCGGTTGACGTGTTTGAGGTGTTTGAGGTGTTTGAGGTGTTTGGGGTGTTTGAGGTGCCTGGGGTGGTTGACGTGTTTGAGGTGTTTGAGGTGTTTGAGGTGTTTGAGGTGTTTGGGGTGTTTGAGGTGTTTGAGGTGTTTGAGGTGTTTGAGGTTGGTTTGTTTGAGGTGTTTGAGGTGTTTGAGTGTAGGTTGTGTGGTGCTTGTTTTTGAGGTGTTTGAGGTGTTTGAGGTGTTTGAGGTGTTTGAGGTGTTTGAGGTGTATGAGGGGTTTGATGGTG